GCAGTCGTTGATACGACTTCCGTTCGTATGGATGCAGCCGGCGCACTCTGAAGCGCCAGGCATATAAAGGCCGTTACCGCTCAGTTTACCTCCATCAACACTAGAATTGTTGTGCCCACACTTTTTGATAAATTTCTATTTTATTAATGCGTCGGAAACAAACTTTACATATTCACCAATTATTTTTGCCCTCTCTTAAAAAATAATATTATTGGCTGATGTCAAACTACACTAAACAGTACTGTACTGTACTGTAAACTGAAGCCAAGTTTCAGGTCCAAACAGTTGGTGAAAACAGGCTGCTGCCCACGTAGCAGAAATTGGAAGCTTGGCCGCAAAGCAAAGAAAGTAACAAATTTGTTTAATAATAAAAATGTATAAAATCTTTGATCAAAATGAACCGAGCAAATGACGAAATATGTCACGAACTCCAGCCCAATGCATTGCAGTCTACTGGTTATTAATTCCGCACAGATGATACGGGGATGACGTCCTAATAAATGCCCACCGCTCGGTGAGGTGTTCTGCCGCGCCGCGCCCCGCCCCAGTCACAACACCCCACCCGTCAAACACGGTGTACAACACGGCGGTGTAGCGCGAGCGAGTATCTCATCAAAACCGTGGTGATCGTCAGCAAAAGGCAAAAAGCACTACGACTAAACTAAACGCAGCACGCATCAAAATCGCCCGCTCCACTGGAAAAGCAAAGGTGGTAGGTCGTGGCAAGGTGCGACAGATTAGAATCTTTGGCAGGTTTAGTGTCTTTTTGAAATGTACAACTTAGCACCTTTGTTTTTCCATCGATCGTTTTTCAAAAACGTAAAAACAAAACCGTAATAATATTTCTTAATATTTTAAGCGCGGGCAGAGGAAAAAGTCTTGCGAAATTCCGCGAGCGGGCTTCTCCAGGTCCCCGAGGTTTTTCCCCCCCACAGCCGCTTCTGCAAGAAGCGAGGTGCACCACGGTGGTGGTGCTCTGGGCGGCTACGTGATAGCCTTGTTTATTTACCTCTCGTGCAACAGACTACACACTTTCCGCGCCAAAAGAAGGGCGCCACTCTCCTCAAAGGAGCCCCTCCTCGTCTCCTACAACACCCCCCGGAGCGACGTGGCGGCGCTGCTGCGGCACCACCACCACCATCCACCACCACCCTCGGCCTCCCCGCGGATCCTTCCTTCTTCCATCGGAGGGCGTTTTTAGAAAAATATTGTACGACACACCACGACGG